TCTCTCGAAGCTGGGAACATGATGTCTTTCCGAGCTTCCATGGGCCAGATGTACGCAAAGGCTTTCTTAGTCACATTAATAAGGATTTTGAAAGAAAAGGAATCAAGCCATTCATTGATAGCAAAATCAAGAGAGGAGAATCCATCAGTCCTGAACTCAAACGGGCGATCAAAGGATCTAAGATTGCCATCGTCTTGCTCTCAAAGAACTACGCTTCTTCGTCGTGGTGTCTTGAAGAATTGGTGGAGATCATGAACAAAGAGTTGGGTCAAACTGTGATAACCATTTTCTATGAAGTAGATCCAACAGATGTAAAGAACCAGACCAAAGATTTTGGGAAAGCCTTCAAAAAAACTTGTCAAGGTAAAACCAAGGAGAAGATTGAGACATGGAGAAAAGCTTTGGAGGATGTGGCCACAATCGCCGGTTACCATTCAAGCAACTGGTTCGTCCTCTTGATTTCCACTTGCTTTTATATATAATATTCATTTATTTATATCTTTTGTAGCATTTGAACTATATGCAGCCAATAGAAAGTCATAACTTTTGAATGTGTATGTGAGTTCTAAGTAATTATTTATTAAAATGACGATGTATACCTTTGTTAGGGTTAATGAAGCGGCAATGATTGAAAACATAGCCTCTCATGTTTCGAAAATGTTGAATCATTTGGTACCATCACCTGATCTCGACCATTTCATTGGGATGGGAGTTCACATAGAAAAGATTAAACTGTTGTTACGCCTAGATTTGGACGAAGTAAGGATGATTGGGATTTGGGGTCCTCCAGGAATTGGTAAAAGCACCATCGCCAGAGTTCTCTTTAACCAAGTCTCCAACAATTTCCAGTTTAGCGCAATCATGGTGAATATTAAAGTAAGCTATCCAAGACCTTGTCTCGATGTGGGCAGTGCACAGCTGCTACTACAAAACCAAATGTTGTCTCAGATGATCAACCACAAAGATATCATGATCACTCATTTAGGAGTCGCACAAGAGAGGTTGAAAGACAAGAACGTGTTTCTTGTTCTTGATGATGTTGATCGGTTAGCACAACTAGATGCATTGGCCAAAAAGGTTCAGTGGTTTGGTCCTGGAAGTCGGATTATCATCACAACAGAAGATTTAAAACTTTTGAAGTCACATGGGATCAACCATATATACAAGGTGGATTTTCCATCAAATGATGAGGCCCTTCAAATGTTTTGCATGTATGCCTTTGGTCAAAAGTCCCCTAAAGATGGTTTCACGGAGCTTGTTTGGAAAGTTCTACAACTTGCTGGGAATCTTCCTCTAGGATTAATGGTTATGGGCTCCTACTTTCGGGGAATGTCTAATCAGGAGTGGACAAGGGCACTACCAAAGTTAATGAATCGCCTTGACGGAGACATTGAAAGCATTTTAAAATTCAGTTATAATGCTTTATGTGATGAGAATAAAGATTTATTCCTCCATATAGCATGCTTTTTCAACCATAGACATATTGAGAAAGTGGAAGAACATCTTTCCAACAAGTTCTTGGATGTGAGACAAGGGCTTCATGTTTTAGTTGATAAATCTCTCATAACTATTGATCAGGGAAGGATAGAGATGCATAGTTTGCTAGCCCAACTGGGTGAAAAAATTGTTCGTGAACAATCTATTCGTGAGCCTGGAAAACGACAGTTTTTGGTTGATGATAAAGATATTTCTGAAGTTCTCGCTGATCCTATAGCAGTAAGTTTTTCATTACTCATTCGTTACATTGCTAATAACAACCTGAGTTTATTTTACCATCTATACTTAATTTTTGGGGTCTTTTTCAGATGACTAGAAGTGTTATTGGCATATATTCCAGTGACAAGCTGAGCTGGGACAAGTTAAAAATAAGTGAGAGAGCCTTTGAAGGAATGTATAATCTCCAATTCTTAAGATTGGGTGGTGGTTTTGGTCATACAAACAAAGAGTCTTTGCTGGAACGTCTGAAATATATATCTCCAAAACTTCAGTTACTAGATTGGAAGTATTCGCCAATGACATGTTTGCCTTTTATTTCCAACATGGAGTTCCTTGTTGAACTAAGCATGTGTCACAGCAATCTTGAGAAACTGTGGGAAGGAATCAAAGTAAGTCATTTTGTTTTCTTCTAATTTTACCTACAATCTTTTACGAACTATAATTCTTTTTAGTTTTATCAATGTTTTTTTTCACGTGATCAACTGTTAAGTGTGTCAAGGTGTTCATGTATTCTATCTTTGTTTGTTTGTACAGTTACTTCAAAATCTCAATTGGATGGATTTGAGTCATTCGAAAAACCTAATGGAGCTTCCTAATCTCTCAAATGCTACTAATCTCAAAGAATTAAATCTCAGTCATTGCTCAAGTTTGGTGGAGCTCTCTTCCTCTATTGGGAATGCAACTCGTCTCCAAAAATTAAATCTCAGTCATTGCTCACGTCTAGTGCAACTCCCTTCTTCCATTGGAAATGCAATTAATCTCCAAAATTTGGATCTCAGTGGATGCTCAAATCTGGTGGAGCTCCCTTCCTCTATTGAGAATGCAACTAATCTTCAATATTTGAATATCAGCTATTGCTCAAGTTTGGTAAAGCTCCCTTCCTCTCTTGGGAATGCAATTAATCTCCAAGTATTACACCTTGGTGGATGCTCGAGTTTAGTGCAGCTCCCTTCCTCTATTGGTAATGCAACAAATCTGCAAAAATTATATCTCAATTTTTGCTTAAGTTTGGTGGAACTCCCTTGCTCGATAGGGAATGCAACTAATCTCCAAGAATTAGATCTCAGTTATTGCTCAAGTCTTGTGGAACTCCCTTCTTCTATTGGAAATGCAACTGATCTACGAAAACTAAATCTGAGTTATTGCTCAAGTTTGGGGGAACTTCCTTCGTCGATTGGGAATGCCATTAATCTCCAAGAATTAGATCTGAGTTATTGCTCAAGTTTGGTGGAACTTCCTTCCTCGATTGGGAATGCCATTAATCTCCAAAAATTAGATCTCAGATGTTGCTCAAGTTTGGTGGAACTCCCCTCCTCTATTGGAAACCTTCACAAATTGACTTTTCATAGTGTAACTTGGGAGGAATGCTCAAAGTTAGATATTCTTCCGACCAAGATCAACTTGGAATCTCTCATCTAACTCAAAATCATTATTGCTTGTTGTTAAAAAGTGTTCTCGAGATTTCTATAAACATCAAATTTATCTATCTCATGGGAACTGCGATAAAAGAAGTGTCTTCGTCAATCAGGTCATGGTCTACAGACCATGAAAACCTCAAGGAATCTCCGCATGCTTTTGAAAGCATCACAGAGCGGCACTTGATGAATACAGAAATACAAGATATTGGTGGGTTAGGGGCTGATCTCGTCTAGTAGCTTGTGCTAAGCGGATGCAAAAAGCTACTGTCACTCCCACAACTTCCAGATGATTCCGTATCAATGCAGAAAATTTTGAGTCTTTGGGAGAGATTAGACTGCTCGTTTTGGAATCCAGATTTTCGTCTCAACTTTCAAAACTGCTTTAATCTAAATCATTAAGCACTCGAGAGATCTCAACATCCAGACATCAACTCGTGAAAATGTGGTCTTACCTCGTGGAGAAGTGCCTGCATGCTTCACATACCAAGCTTCTCGGAGTTCCACTGAGCTTGTTTTTGAGTTCAATCTCAAATATTATAACTCTGACACCAGCAAGGTAAAAGAATGCTCGATACCCCAATTCTTGTAGAATCAAGCTGATGAAGATTCTGAATCTTTGCATTTAGATGAAGGGAGTTTTTCAGCTTTGACTTCAAGATCCCATACAAACATTAAAACCAAAGTAGACAGAGAACATCCGGAGAATGACATTGAAGGGACGAAGAAGAGTTGGAAAAAAAAATATTTATACGTCACTTAGTTAAATGACGCGATCGGAGGGAAACAAAGAGAGAAGAGCAGCTCTCTGCGATTGCCTGCGAATCCTTCTCGACCGTAGCAAGGGTTCTCAAAATCTCCCCTTGGTTCAACGAAGACGGCTCCGATCTTCCGACGTGGTCTTGTTCCGAGCTATTTTCCGCCGGCGAATCGTCATCCACCGGCCGACCAACATCAACTTCAGCTCCGGTTTCCATTTTTCCCGGTGGGTACTCGATGGTATCTGTTCTTCCAAGTTTTGAGGAAATTAAAAAGTCACCCCACTACTCTTTTATCATTGCATATATGACCCAAAACATTTTTTCGTGTACCATATAAAATTTTCAACATGATGATGATACTTTCAAAAGCGTTACTGCTATTGCTTGATGAGCTACAAAAGGATTTGTAACAAGAGTAATAATTCATCTGGTACAATCGTGCATAGCGGTAAAAAAATTGGTGAATTACTCAATTTTGTTCATTGAAGGAAATGAACAATTTGGAAGCCAAACTTTAAACAAATTAACATTTTCTTACTTGCCAGACACAAAGAAATGAACAATGGAAGCAGTGTAACTTACATGAATTTGTTCATTGTCGATACTTAATAGTCTAGTATCATATATCAAAAAAAATTAGATTATGAATTGTTTTTTGTCCTCAGCGAGGAGCTAAACTAGTAATAGAAGCATCGTCGACCGAGAAGGGACCAAACGCATCTGTGGATGGACCTGCTCTCCCTACTTGCTGTTCATCCCTCCTTCGGAAGAAAAATCCAGGTGGATGAGGTACGGCGAGAGCGATTGAGCTAGTAGTGAGCATTTGGACGATTGCTGACATAGTTGGACGATCTTC